ATATGGTGACACCAACCCAATGCCTTCATATGGTGACACCGACCCAACACCTCTGGATATGGTGACACTGACCCAATGCCTTCATATGGTGACACCAACCCAACACCTCTGGATATGGTGACACCAACCCAATGCCTTCATATGGTGACACCAACCCAACGCCTCGCCGTTTGGTGACACCCAACCCAACCCCTCTTGATATGGTGACACCGACCCAATGCCTTCATATGGTGACACCCAACCCAACGCCTCGCAGTTTGGTGACACCAACCAACACACTGATAAGATGACACCAACCCAACACCTCGCAGTTTGGTGACACCAACCCCTGTGCCATTACCATCACTGGTGTCCTGGTGACACCAACCCCCATCTCACTGCCATCACTCCTATCCCGGTGGCAACTCCCAATCTGCTTGGCAAAGCTGGCAATGCCGATGGCGCTGTGAGGTCCCCATGTCCCCCAGGACCCCCACATCCCCCCAGGACCCCCAGAACTCATCCCTCCACCACCCCACCTCAGCAAAGTGCATGTAGATGCACTCCCTGGTGCACTGGTGCGGCTCAGTGCAGCCGATCTGTTTGGCAACGTTGGCACTGCCAATGGCTTTATGGCATCACCATGTCCCTCGGGACCCCCCCAGGACCCCCACATCCCCCCAGGCCCCCCATAACTCATCCCTCCACCACCCCACCTCAGCACAGTGCATGTAGATGTACTCCCTGGCGCGCTGGTGCAGCTCGGTGCAGCCGATCTGCTCGGCGAAGTTGGCGATGCCGATGGCGTTGCTGGGGTCGAGCTGCTGCAGCAGGAAGTCGCAGCAGGCGCGCACCACGCTGTCGATTTGGTACATGACGGCCCCGCTCATCACGTGCAGCACGCAGCGCTCCCCCACCGAGATGGACGCCGTGTAGGCGAACTCCAGCAGCCTCTCCATCACCCGCGGGTGCACCCCTTCGATGGGCACCACCTCCATGGCTTGCTCCCTCAGCCCCGCCGTGAACATGGCCCTGAAAACGGGGCTGGAGGAAGCCAAGACCACTTTGTGAGCCGGGAAGTCGGTGGGGGGGCCGTCGCCGTAGCGGACGCGCAGGGTGACGTCGCAGAGCTGCCGGCTGAGCCGCAGTTGGTTCATGACGGCCAAGGCCTGGCGCGGGTGCTCCTGCAGGGCGTAGCGGAATGAGCGGTGACCCTGCGGGGACGGCGTCACCTCCGCGTGGCATTCGGGGCCGTACATAGGGCCTGGGGGGTGGGGGGCATGGCCGGCCCCCCGGGAGGGGGGTGGGGAAGGGGGCGGGCTGGCGATGGCGCCGGTGGGAGCGGTGGAGCTGGCAATGGTGGGGCTGGTGGTAGAGGTGGGGCTGGTTCTGGTAGGGCTGGTGATGATGGGTTCGGTGGTAGCAGTGGGGCTGTCTGTGATGGGGCTGGTGGGACCGGTGGGGCTGGCAATGATGGGCCCGGTGGTACCAATGGGGCTGGTTCCGGTAGGGCTGTCAGTGATGGATCCGGTGTTATCAATGGGGCTGGTTCTGGTAGGACTGGCACTGATGGATCCGGTGTTATCAATGGAGATGGTTCCGGTAGAACTGGCAATGATTGATCCGGTGTTATCAATGGGGATGGTTCTGGTAGGACTGCCAGTGATGGGCCCAGTGGTACCAGTGGGGCTGTCAATGATGGGACTGATGGTACTGGTTCTGGTAGGACTGGCACTGATGGATCCGGTGGTACCAATGGGGCTGGTTCCGGTAGGGCTGTCAGTGATTGATCCGGTGTTATCAATGGGGCTGGTTCCGGTAGGGCTGGCAATGTTTGATCCGGTGTTATCAATGGGGATGGTTCTGGTAGGACTGTCAAAGATGGGCCCAGTGGTACCAATGGGGCTGTCAATGATGGGACTGATGGTACTGGTTCTGGTAGGACTGGCACTGATGGGCGCGGTGGTACCAATGGGGCTGGTTCCGGTAGAACTGGCAATGATTGATCCGGTGTTATCAATGGGGCTGGTTCTGGTAGGACTGCCAGTGATGGGCCCAGTGGTACCAGTGGGGCTGTCAATGATTGGACTGATGGGGCTGGTTCCGGTGGTGCTGTTGATGATGTGCCCAGTGGTACCAGTGGGGCTGGTTCCGGTAGGGCTGGCAATGGTGGGGCCGATGGTACCAGCAGGGCTGTCAATGATGGGACTGATGGGACTGGTTCCGGTGGTGCTGTCGATGATGGATCCGGTGGTACCAGTGGCGCTGTCAATGATGGCACTGATGGTTCTGGTGGTGCTGTCGATGATGGGTCTGGTAGGGCTGGCAATGATGGATCCGATGGTACCAGTGGAGCTGGTTCTGGTAGGGCTGGCACTGATGGACCCAGTGGTACCAGTGGAGCTGGTTCTGGTAGGTCTGGCACTGATGGACCCGGTGGTACCAGTGGAGCTGGCAATGATGGCACTGACGATACTGGTTCCGGTGGTGCTATCAGTGATGGGTCTGATGGTACTGGTGGTGTCGGTGCTGCTGCCAATGACGGGTCGGGTGGTACCGGTGGTGCTGACGGTACCGGTGTCGGTGCCACCAGTGCTGACAATGGTGGGACTGGTGGTACCAGTGGCACTGGTGGTACTGGTGCCGGCGGTGCTGCGGATGATGGGATCGGTGGTACTGGTACCGGTGGTACTGGTGGTACCGGTGGCGATGGGAGCACTGATACCGATGGTACCGGTGCTGGTGGTACCGCCAACAGTGACACCAGCTGCACCGATGGTACTGGCAACGGTGGTACCGGTGGTGGCGGTACCGATGGTTCTGATGACGGTACTGGAGGTGCTACTGTAGGTACAGGCGGTACCGGCGGTGATGCGAGTGCCGGTATCGGTGGTACCGGTGCTGATGGTACTTCCGGTACCGGTGACAAGGGTACACCGGTAGTGGCGGTACCGGAGGTGCTCACGGTGGTACCGGCGATAACTGCGGTACCAGCGATGGTTGTGGTGGTACCGGAGCTGGTTGTGGTGGTACCGGAGCTGGTTGTGATGGTACCGGCGGTACCAACAGCGGTAGCACCAGCGATTCTCCTCTTACTGGTGACACTGGGGGTGGTGGTACTCCCGGTACCGGTGTCAGCGGTACCGGTGGTGGATCCGGTGGTAGCGTCAGCGGTTCCGATGGTACCGGTGGTGCTGTTACCAGTGGCAATGGCGGTGGCTGCGGCTGTGCCAATGGTGGCTGTGGTGGTACCGGTGTCGGTACCGGTGCTGGCGGTACCGGTGTCGGTGGCACCGCGCTATGAGGGCGCTGTGGGGTTCCCAGGAGGTGAGGCGGGGGCAGCGGTGACGGTGGTGGAGCTGAAGGGAAAAAATGGGGGGGGGGGGGGGGAAAGGGGGG